ACGTTAGAATCCTCAGGGAGCTTTTAAAGGCCCTGAAGCCAAACCACTTCCTAAACCGATTAAATCAGAGCCCTGGGGAGAGGCTAGGATAAAAGTATTTTTTAAGCTTCCTGGGTGACATCAACGCTCATCTAGGATGGAAACCCTCTCTCAGGCGCACCTTAGTCCTCAAGCTGACATCTCTGCTCTTCAGTACTTTAAAAAGTTCCTGTGCAGCAGATTTGCCCAACGCAAAATACGTCGTCTGATCTCTTAACCGCTGCTTCGGCGAGTGTTGACAGTTGATCCAAGAAGAATGAAGTCCTTGACAACTTCAATCTCTTCTCCATTGATAAGAATGCTGTTTTAAGGCAAAATCTTAGCAGGAGGTGAAACTGGACGAATGGTTTGGAGTTTTTCAGAGCATCCCTTTAATTTAAAGTCCCAAACGCACAGCCCAAATCTTATGCTAATTAAGTATCCATTTTGGGGGGGGGGGTTGGGGAGGAGAGGAGGAGAAAAGGGAGGAAGAAAGAAAGAATCCTAAAATCGCCTGAGGAGGTCCTCTTTCTTTTTCTCTGGCAGCAGCACTTGTTAACCAAACCTTTGTGGCTGGCTCATAGCGGCCTCTCTTAAAGTGCACTACGTTTGAACCTCTGAGCCTAGGACAATTGCTTAGACCCAGGTCTAAAGAGGGTGGGATAAAATTCAAAATCCAGCCTCCTCAGGTCAATTCCAACTCATATCGATCCCTAGAAGATGAGTAGAACTAAGTGGAGGCTTTTCTGAGGTTGTAAATCTTGATGGACGGGAACTATAGTTATCTTTCTTACTTGGGCTGATGGAGTAAGACACTTACCTTTGAGGTTCACAGCCTAGTGCCTTAACCACGGCGCCACCAACGTGCCTCTAAATCATGGGATACATCCTCCCATCCCCCAATCAATGCTAAAGAGAAAAGTACTAAAAAGGTACACTGTTAAGGGAAATCTAGAATTCTGATTTTTCCTATCACGATTTTCCTTTTCAAATGTTTAGTTCGTCTTAAAAACAAAAAGATACAACTAGGTGGGGTAGGGTTGCCAGATGTAGCAAATAAAAATAATTAATGCAAAATGCAAGTAAATAAGTGCCCTTCATTCCCTTCCCCAATTAAATTGGAATTGTTTATCTGAAATCCATATTGAAGAGGAATTGTCTTTAGCAACTTTTGGTGAGGATCTAAACTGGTGTTTGATCTGCTTTTTAGGTAATCCGTCAGTGTGCCAAACCCATTTCACATTTGCCCTGCCCCTCCCAAACATTCAGGCTCCAAGCCACAATCATTTTCTGGAAGATTGTTGGCAAAGCTACGAGCCTCAGATGTTTAGGAAAAGGGGCTTGATTTAAACTCACTGAACCTGCACGTGGTCATTCATCACTGTCATGATGTTCCTAAATGTAGAGACATGAATCTGGTCCTCCTCAGGGACTACACTGGCCCTGCCCCTGTCCCTTCCTGCCTGCCTGCCAGGGACCTCCCCACAAAAAGCCCCATCAGGCTAAGCCCATAGACATCTTGCTGGGTAAATTCCAAAAACGTAAGGCTTAGTTTAAAGAAAAAAAGAGGTTGCTGAAGGCTCTGTAGGGCATCCTGCCATTAATGTAAAGTTTTAAAACCTTGCGAGAGCACATTATATAGATCGTTTATGGAAACAGGCATATGGAGTGAAAGTGTAGAGTTGGTCATCAGACTGCTGGACACTGCATTTTGGAAAGAGATTATTTTGGGGTTGTTGTTATGTGCCGTGGAGTCGATTCCGACTCATAGTGACCCTGTACAGGGTTTCCGAGGCTATGGGGTGGAGGAGAGGAAACTGAGGAGGGGTACAAGATGAGTAAAGAGCCCTGGTGACTCTGGTTATGTGAGTTCACTGTCAACCAAAAGGTTGCTAGTTCAAGCCCACCCAGCTGCTAGCTCCTTGGGAGAAAAATCTTGGCAATGTGCTCCTGAAAAGGTGGTGGTTGTTATAGTTAAGTGATAGGGTTTCCCAGAGGCGGTTGGCCACTTTGAGCCTTGTAGTACAAACTGACCTTGAGGTTGAGCACTTATATCCTATGTTGCCACACCAGGACTCCTGTGAAGGTTACAGCCAGGGAGTGGGTCGGCTGGCTCAGATTCAGGCATTATGAGTCAGCATTGACTCCATGGCACAAAACAGTTACACTTGTAATGCTGTGTTCCTCAGGTGATGTTTGTTACGATATTTAAACTTTTTGAATCTCTAAAATCATTCATTTTTTTAAAGTCTGGAATAGTGGCTAAATGTGTTGATCCTTCCCAGAGAGATCCTGGCGGGGTGAGGCTGGGGGTCTGTTCCATTGTACTTTGGAAGCCGATAATTTTGGTATTCTAGAACTCACAGATGAGTTTGGGCCCAGGATGGTCTCACCCATATTTAATTTAAATGCTTCAGGAGGCAAGATTTCGGAGCTGATTTAAGATTTGGGGGATGATGTGATATGGTGAATGTGCTTTGCATGTGGGAAGGGCATGACTTTGGGGGTGTTAAAGGGCGCTCTGGAGACAAGGCCTGGAGGTCTGCGGGTTTTCCAGGCCATTCCAACAAGTCACACCCTGGTCTAGGGTTGGCTAGCCAATGGCCATTTCGTTTCTTATCTTTTTCAGCTGTGCCTGAGAATGGCTCTGCTGAAAATAAAGGTATCTGGAACCCTGTCCCAAATTTCTGAATCGGAATCTTTGGGGAGGAGTTGTAGGTGCCTGAGCATCTGCATTTTAACAATCCTGGACCTGGATTCTGATGCACAGCGACGTCTCAGACTAAACTCCCCTCCCCCATCTAAGGGCCCCACCCTACTGCTGGCACGGGGTGGTCAAATACATGATTTTACATTTTTAGAACTATCCCAAGCCTCTCAACAGTGTTTGGCTCATGCCCAAAGGTCCCATCCTCGGTGGTCCCAATCCTGGGCCCCTTCGCCCCCGCCCTTGAGGAGACCCTGGGGCAGGCGGCCTGCCTGAGGCCTGGAATGCAGCCCGCCTGGGCCGCACCCTGCCTGAACCAGTTTGAACCAGCTGCAAGGAGGGAGCCGTGGCGAGTCCCCACGAGCGCCCTCTGGTGCCCAAGCGAGCTCGGAGCTCTGCTCCCACCTCCTACTACTGTCTCGGAGGGTGCAGGCAGTGGGCTCCAGCCCGGGGTGAGGGTGGGATTGGGGGTGGGGGTCGGGGTGGGAGGGACTGTGGCCGCCAGGGTCTCAAGGCTCTCAGGATCTGGAGCCCCCAGCTGGGCCCCAAGGTCCCAGACCCTTCCACCCCGACCTCATCAGGCCTGCAACTACAAAATGGTCGCCTGTCTGTCCTTCTCTCAAGTCAGGCCTCAGGCCCACGAGGTTCTACACCAGCACATTCAGCTGGACTGGGGAACTCCCCAAAATATTGATGTGGCGGCGGGCTCCCATTCTGGACATTGTGATCTCATTGGTTGAGGGTATGCGCTGGACTTTGGGAGTTTAAAAAGATTCTCAGGGAGTCTCCCAGATGCACAAAAGGGTAACCTGTTTGGTGGCTAATCAAAGGGGTGGAGGAGCTGAGGCACCTTGGAAAAATGGCCTGTTAATGGACATTGGGAAAATCAGCCAGTGAAAACCTTATGGAGCATGTTCTACTCCAAACACGGGTAGCCGTGAGTCAGGATGGACGCTGAGGCTACTGGTTTCAGGTGATTCTGAACTGGATTAATTCTGGTCACTGTGGTCCCACACTTTGCACACTACAGCCGGTTGCTAAGTGCTATGTGCTGGCAGTTTGAAGCTCTTCACACAGGTGAACTCTTGCATCTCTACCGCCCCCTATGTGGCAGGTTCTGCTAAGATCCCCATGGTACAAGTGAGGAAATTGAGGCACAGAGGTTAAGTCACTCCCTTAGGACCGACCATAAGGGGAATAAAAAAATCACATTCCAGTCCACCCTGATTATTCGCAGGTTTCCATATATATGAAATATATGTGTATTCGTCTTCTAGCTCAATTTGCCACTCCAAAATCAATATTGGAGTGCTTTTCCGATTAGTTACTTGAATTCACAAACATGCTCAGAGCTTTGAAAAACTTGAGTTGCATAACATGCAAGATTGAGTGAGTGAGGCTACTTGGGTATTCAGGCATTCAGCATTGTGGAGATCATAGAACTGAACTGCATCAAATAATGAGATTCAATTGTCATCAAAATGTCATACTTTCTGGAGACAGGATGAACCTCTGAAACTATTGCCCTGAGATACTTTTCAAACCTTAAACCAAAACATTCCCTAGAGTCTTCTTAAAATCAAATAGCTGTTTCGTTTAACTAGCTAGTAATATCTGCCTTGAGCATTGTTCTCTTTTAAGAACTATCAATATGGGGTCTGGAGACCTGGTGTGGTGCTGTGGGTTAATGCGCCAGACTGCAAAGCTGTTT